GATGGTCGCACCTTGAGCGACTACAACATCCAAAAGGAGAGTACTCTTCACTTGGTCTTGCGTCTTCGTGGTGGAAACTAAATCAATCAACGTGCACAACAATGTATCAACGGCAGTTAACTCAACGGTTTTATAAACAAAATCATAATTAAAATGCATTGAAATTCAATAAATAATCTCCAATTTATACATTGTTCTCCAAATATCAATAAAATCCGAAACTGTGCCGAAATTTAAAAAGAAAATAAATTTACAAGTCTTTTTTATGTTTCGATTTTATTTACATTTTTTCAGGATGAGAATATAAAATTTAAAAAAATTAAAATGTTAAGATCGTGAATAAAACGGACAACTATAAGATACCGAAAAATTGAATGAAAAAATCATTGGACTGGAAGAGCATTCTCGATTTGGTACTGAATTAAAATATTTGTTACTTTCACCTATAATGTTATTTATCCAGTTATTTTAAATGATATCAATAATCTTTCATTCAAAATGCCGCCAATTTCGAAAAGTCTGGAAAGGTTTTGCGCTTGAGTACAAATTGAAACAACTTCAGGATGTTTAGCTCACTTTGTAATAGAAGTGTCAAAATATTCCAGAATAAACAAGCAACCATCAAACATCGTTTCAAAACCATCTAAAACTAAATCATATTTTTGTTTCAAAATTTTTACAATTCAATTTGAATTATTATAATCGCTTATTTGAAAATGGCAAGTCAAAAGATCGAAGAGGTATGTCTCAATGTATTTTTGTTTCGAATTTTTTAAGTTTTTTGTTTGAGTCTAACCTCAATATTGTGTTACTGTAGCTCACATTGGATTTAGCTGAATTAAACGCAATATCTGAGAAATTGGAACGCCCGCGCAATATAGATGCTGTTCTATTACAAAAGAAGCGCATCGAAACCGAAATATCGAACCTACGTGCTCAGGTGGATACATTTTCGAAAGCAACCCAGATTCGCGTCGCAAACAACGAAGTCAAGAGATACGAATGCGAAATCAGCAACTACGCTTGGGATCAAAGTGACAAATTCGTGAAATTCTTCATTGGTCTCGATGGTGTTCAAAATTCGTCTGAAGAAAGTGTCGTTGTGACTTTTTCATGCAACTCCATTCTTTTGAAAGTAGCCAATATACAGAACAAAGATTACAAGTTCGAAGTGAACAACCTCTTGTATGAAATCGATGTAGAAAAGAGCTATCGCAAAATCAAAACCAACTCCATTGCCATTTATGCGAAAAAAGCAACTGAAGGTAAGTAGAAATAATTTGTTCCCGATGTTCAAATTTTATTACTGCAAACAAAAACCTTTCATAAATGTATTTTTACGTGTAGGTAAAAATTGGTCTCACTTGACAACTACTGAAAAGCGATTAGCTGATATAAAGAAACATTCGTTGGAAGATGATTTGGAAACTAACAAAGACGATCCCGGAGCAGGACTTATGAAGATAATGCAGAAAATGTACGAAACGGGCGATTCAGAGACAAAAAAGATGATTGCTAAAGCATGGACTGAAGGTCAACAAAAATCGCTAAATCCAGATTTACAATTTTAATGTAAAACAATCATCAGCTATTCCATAGAGAGATTTTTTTCAAAACGATTTTTATTTCGAACAGCACCATTGTAGTCTGTCGTATTCAGTTTAATACAATTCAATAGAAACTTGAAAGAAATTGTAATAATTTATAATCTCGAAAGTGCACTCAACGCCTCCTTCCAATTCCTTTCAATTGGTTTCATGATACAACTATGGAAAATTTCTCATTGAATAAAAGTTTTATTATCTGTAGTACTCTCGGATCCACACACATTGCGTCGTTGGTGTGAGATTAGGTCATTTCTCTAGGAATTGGTAAATTCAAAATAATTATCACTATAAAAATGAATAATAATGTGAAAATAATTAAAGAAACATATTTCTTACCTGGGAAAAACCTCTCTTACAATTTTTACATTCGTACGGCTTCTCACCTGTATGAGTTCTGGGATTAAAAAAAAATGCATTATAGTGTTTAATTTCTCCTCACAATAATACACACCTAACGTGAATGGTGAGTTTATCTGAACGGGCGAAAGCACGGTTACAAATTTTACAGCAAAATGGTTTCTCTCCTGTGTGCTTCCTATAACAACATAGAATTATGCCATATAATCATAAATAAATGTTCATTCAATTTCATCTTCTTCATCAAACCTCATGTGAATGGTCAAATCAGTCGATCTAGGGTAGCCTTTGCCACAAATGCTACAAAAATTTGTCATAATTCCAGTATGACGGCGTGTATGGACAGCCAAATTACTACGTGATGTACAATTTACCCCGCAAATTGAGCATAAAAACTGTTTCTTGTTTCCAGTTGTTTCATCAGTGGAATGGCTTGGTTTTATACTAGAGTTACGATGCGATCGCATATGAACTTTAAAATGGTTAGCATGCTTCATTTGCTTTCCTACAAGTACAAAACAAAAGTCATACGTAGTCATCAACATTCTAGAAATAAAACCAACCGCAAACAGAGCACTGAAAGGAATTCAGTTTACTTTTGCAATTTTCATGTATCTTTTTGTGTCGTTCTAAATTCATTAGCTTGGCAAAAGTTTTGTTGCATATCAGACACAAATGTTGGAGTTTCGATGAATTCTCTGGAACCATCGAATTTTCTGCAAGTGGTACATCATCCTGATTGTGGCTTTTCATATGCTCCAAAAGTGTTTCATTGCATGAATATTCGTGTGGACAATGTATGCATTTGTAAGACCTATAGGAAAAAGGAGTAAATGAAAATATTTGTTCTTCTTCGATGGGATTTTTGTAACCTACCTTGCGGTTGTTTTGTCAGATTCTTTGGTGTGCTTTTTCGTTCCGTTCGAATCACGTTTACTTCGGGAATTGTCGTTCTTGGATTGGAGTTTTGTTTGACCTTCAGCATTATCTGAATTCGAATTGTTCGAAACTTTCTGCGTATCATTTCTGAATTTGTCTTCGTCAATTTCAATCGATGAATTTTGTAAACTTAATCGTAACTTCCGATCAGATTCTTGGCATTTCAAAATGAAATATCGAGTAGTTTGTATTTGATGCGAACAAAATGGACAGATATGTTGTGGCAAATCATCATTGGCGGTAAACTAAAATTTAGAAAGATATAAAATATTAGATATAATCTTTAAACAAAGTTGTTCAACAGAAGATAGCCTACAGATAAAGTTGTCATTGAAGCTAACAAATGGATCAGATCTTCTCCGGAACTGAATAAGTCAGTTAAATTCTCCGAACTCGATAAACATATTCGGCAAATCCGATCAAAGTCCAAAGTATCTGGTAACATTTCCTTCTATATTTAACGATCATGAAAAAAAAATTCAAATCCATTCAACTGACTACGAAGAATGCAGCAAACTAAATATTGTATATGTTGACAGTTGACAGTTTTTTCTGTATATGCCACTTCTAGCGACCTCTACATAACGCTGTCAGTATAACGCTCAACAAAAGATACAAGTCATCACACAAAATTCTCGCAATGGCTGAAGTTGATGTTATTATTCCCGAAAAGGTAAGTACAATTGCTGCAAAGTTAAATAAAATTTAGAAAGTATGAGTGATGTACAATTTATATAATTCGCTTTGTAAAAATTTTACTTTTCCCAATAATATCAAAATAAAATTCCTAGCATTAGATTAAGCTTTATTCCTAGCCAAACAATAGTATACGGTACCAATTTCTATACCCATATTATTTTTTCAGGATGAGGTTGCCGATCTAAAAGCCTCAAAGGACGTTTCACACAGTACACTTGAAGATTTAGATACCGAAGATCTTTATGTGAAATTGAAGGTATGTAACTCCTTTTCAATATCTTCTTCCACAAATATTGACCTAACCTCAACTATGTTCAATTTCTTGTTTGTCATCATAACACAATTTGAAGAGAGAATGAAAACACATTCGATTATTTCGTTTTCCAACAGAAACTTCAGAAGACATTGGAATTTTTGGAAGTGCAAGAAGAGTACATCAAAGATGAACAAAGGAATTTAAAGAAAGAATACTTGCACGCGCAAGAAGAAGTGAAGCGCATTCAATCAGTGCCACTGGTTATCGGACAATTCTTGGAAGCTGTGGACCAAAACACTGGTATTGTCGGCTCTACAACTGGTTCAAATTACTATGTACGAATTTTGTCTACAATCGATCGTGAGCTATTAAAACCATCAGCCAGTGTTGCTTTGCACAAACATAGCAATGCTCTCGTTGACGTTTTGCCACCAGAAGCAGATAGCTCCATTTCAATGCTACAGCCAGATGAAAAGCCAGACATCTCATATGCCGATATTGGTGGCATGGATATGCAAAAACAAGAAATTCGTGAAGCTGTCGAATTGCCATTGACACATTTCGAACTGTATAAACAGATTGGTATTGATCCACCACGGGGTGTTTTGATGTGAGTATAAAAATTGTATTAAAAAGAATTCACTTTATTTGTATTGAAACGTTTTTATTTGGATTTGCTTCCTTTTAGGTATGGTCCACCTGGTTGTGGCAAAACAATGTTGGCTAAAGCAGTGGCACATCACACAACAGCTGCATTTATCAGGGTGGTTGGTTCGGAATTCGTGCAAAAGTACTTGGGTGAGGGCCCTCGTATGGTGCGCGATGTCTTCCGCTTGGCGAAAGAAAATTCACCAGCTATCATCTTCATTGACGAAATAGATGCGATTGCAACGAAGCGTTTCGATGCACAAACCGGTGCTGATCGTGAAGTTCAACGTATCCTACTCGAACTGTTAAATCAGATGGATGGTTTCGATCAAACAACCAACGTAAAGGTGATCATGGCAACGAATCGTGCGGATACACTTGACCCAGCTCTGCTTCGTCCAGGACGTTTAGATCGGAAAATCGAGTTCCCATTGCCCGATCGTCGGCAAAAACGATTGGTATTCTCGACAATTACGACAAAAATGAACTTATCGGAAGATGTCGATTTAGAGGATTACGTTGCTCGACCGGACAAAATTTCTGGCGCTGATATCAATGCTATTTGCCAGGAAGCCGGCATGCATGCGGTCAGAGAAAATCGTTACATCGTTCTTGCTAAGGACTTTGAAAAGGGCTACAAAAATAATATCAAGAAAGATGAACAAGAACATGAGTTCTACAAATAAATTATTCACACAACACAATCATACTTTTTTCCAGCTGTAACCCTCATACTAACATACATTTGAATTTGAAAAGAAAATAGTTTAAAAAATAAAAAATTCACTGATAAAATCAAATATTCAAATTGTTCTCAATGTATTTTTAGATGGAATAAAAACATACAATATCTAAATTATTGACTCATGTTAACCGAATCAAACCGCAATCGCTAATGATTTGTGCCTGTAAAGGAGTAGTTTTAGCGCATGTCCCGAACATTTGAAATACCGATTATATTGTTGCCAATAACAACGGTACTGATTTCTTCGCTAAATAGCAAATAACGTACACATGCACACATGTAAACACACACACACACGCGCGCACTCACACCAAAAAAAAATCAGTTCCAGTTGATTCGTAGGAAAATTTTCAGACCACACGCACTTCTGGTGAAAATTTTTCATAACAACGAAAATCCATTGAATTGTATGTAATCAAGCCAAGATTCAATTTCTTTTGCATTTTTCGCCGAATTAAACAAATAAAATAATATATTTAAGTGCTTGTAGCTGTGAAATATGTGCAAAGTTTGATTTGTTGAAAAGGTGTGAATCGATAAACCGATTTTTCTACATTTTTCCTGACCACTCAATTATGGAAGTTAATCAATTTCATGTCGTAAGTATTACAAATATCTAAATGTACTACAAAGTTATCGGTGTTCTGTTAACAATAATGCCTAATTAGAAATTGAAGTTAATTAGAAAGGTAATGATTGGAAATCTGATGTTTGATGTTCAGTCTTCATTTATCAGTTTCAACTTGTCTTCAGTTTCATCCACTCTTGTTAAATTGTAGAAATTGTAGAACACACTTGTCCTGTTTGAGACTCATAAATTTTCCAAATAGCGTATTTTGCGTTATGCAATACTCCAGCCGAACTATCATCTCGTATGCATATTAACCCCAGCAGTAGCAATTCAGGTACAAGTGCATGGAAAAAGTTCAACGAACCCCCCCATGGTTTATTTATCAAATGCAGCAATAGCAGCATCTTTACTACTAACCTGAATTTTCCATTACATCGTCAAATCGTGTAAAAACGTTTATTTAATGTTGATATAGATGACCATCTCAAACTCATCATTATAAAATAAAAATTAATATGTAGTGTAAAAAAATTGAAAACTTCTTGCATATGTCAAATAAAGTCTGACCAAATGAACAAAACCTCCTACACACTAACATTTCAATGGCATATACTGCACACTTGTCTTGCCCTTGTTTCAAGTACAAGGCAACAATTGTTTTCGCACGTTCTCGCTAATTCACACTGTGGGAGTGCTAACTTACAGCGGCAAGTTTTATGCTATTTTTCATCTATTTCCTGAATTAAAAAATCTCACGCGAATCGTGTACAGCCTGTTTAAGTTTTGGCATAATTTGTTGTAAATCAGAAGAAGAAAATATTTCATATAGTAAATCATCACTTTCAAAATAAATTAAACATTGACGATTTGATGATACCAAATAGCGATAAAAATGCTCCAGTTAACAGAATTGACCCAGAAATTAATTGATTGATATTTCGAAATGCTTGTGTTTGTGCGAACGAGCTAAGAACAGATGAGTCCAATTCTATTGCAATTATTCAGATATTTAAAAAATATTGCAAAATAAACGCCATCGATGTACGGTGACCGAAGCACTCTGGGAAAAGCTCGAAAATTTTGTTCAAGGGACTTCGACAAACGAACAACCACCAGTTCATTCATTTGGTACATTTAACGAGACATATGTAGCAGCCCGTCTCAAAGCTAATTTGAAATATTTGTATTTTGATTGTTCAACATTAGCGCAATGCTATGTGATAGTCGCATTTCTTTCTAGACTGCGCGTCATCAAATCCATACACACATATAGAAAAATAATACAAATTTTTTGCTCTTTTCAACACACATTGTAGTACCGCTTTTACGCAGGCGGAAAGTCCACACTGACAAAAGTGGGTTACACAGTGTACATCGACACGATGTACATTGTATACAAGCACATGTATAGGCACGATGACGTCGGTGACAACGCAAAGAAGAGCACTTTGCTTGAGATTCAGTGTGATTCGGTGCGCCGTCGGTCCCAGACCGCGGATCATTTTATGTGCAATTATTTTGAAACGTTGGAAGTATGTGCGAAGTTCGGTTTGGTTTTGTTTTACAATGCACCTGTACAAAAACCAATTTTTTGGTAATTTCATTCATCAGTTGTTTGTTTTATTGAAATTATTATAATTTAAACAAATTACGCGGTGTGTTTTGCTGAACATTTGGTGCAGTTAGTTATATCTCATGTAAATTTAATTTTCGATAAAGCTTAAACAAACCGATCTTAACAACAAAAATGTGTTGTTCGAAACAAACTTGCCCAGTCAGCGAATCTGATAGACGAGTGAATGCATGAGACGTAATCAAAACTCCAGATTTATTAAAAAAAAAGGCTTGAAAGAAAGCACCACAAAAGAACTTTAACCGGAATACTTTCAAATCGCAAATAAAGTGTAGAGAATAGATCTTCCGAAAGAAATAAGCAACTTAGTTATTTTTGAATGATTCAAAAACAAATATTTGCTAGCCCTTTTCACGCGAAGGAAATTGAAACCACTCTTATTTATTCTTTGCATGAAAACATGATAATGAAAAAATAATAAAAAAATTAACACTTGATAGTCGATGTAAAGCAGAATGGTTTTGAAAAGTGAAAACTAAATTTTTGCCACATTGAGTAAATTTACGACTGAACTTACCGAACACACATATCCATTTCCTAATTTATTACGTACTTAAAATGTAAACACAAAAGCTATGAGGAAACAATAGAGAGCATGATACTCTTGATAATGTATACCATTTATTGATTTCCAGCATCATGACGCACGAACGTGAATATTTGAAACGGAAAACTTACTAGATATAACACGACGTAGCATTGGGTTAGAACAATGAGCTCTGTCGAAAATTTAGAAGACGACACACTTTGACTTTGTTTGATTTATTGTGTACATGAGCCTCAAAACGTCACCCTGATAAAAAAATCAATACTGTGGCGATTCGTAGTAATGGGTTTTCAAAGCTCATTCCAGTAATGAATCATAGACGAGTATGCGATTTTCTGTCAAAACTATTAATTAGCACCCTAATTAGTACCGCGAAACAAAAAAACACTCTCTCTCTTGAATTCGGCAAAAATGTCCTATAATAATGTGGCAAAAGTGTATGAAATATCAAACACGTTTTGATCTTGCATCTCAAACAAAAACATCTACCTTTCACATTTGGTTAACATTTATTCAAGCTTAAAGAGAGACTACGACTCCGACACATTGAACATTTACATCAAATATCCACTTTGTTTTGAATTTTTTTTACTTAAAATACAACTTATTTTTCTTGTTATTGCTTACGGTTTTGAATAATGAAAACATCTTTCGTGAACGAGCAGGTGGAATTTGATATAAGAAAATGTAGGATCGTGAATTAAAGACGTTTCGTGAAGTTTTTACAATTCAGTTTTGTGAATAAAAATACGACAAAAATATGTTTGGTTTTGTTTGAATAAAACCGACATTCAAAATGAATATTAAATAAATGAGATTAAATTTCAATTGCCAAAAATCGGCAAATGTGCGTAACGTACATGCAGATAACGGGTGTGCAGAGATTAACTAAACGGGAACTTCCGTACGAAAACGGTGAATAAACTCGCCGTAATGAACAAATAAAGTTCCTGATCTGGGCGATTTAGTTTTTTATGATTGATCCTATTGAAATACCAATGTTGCATTTTTAAATTTTTTCATTAATAAATCAATCATTTTTTAGGGTATTCGCATCCTCATTTATTCATTTCTAGTATTTGAACTAATGCGCTTTAGGCACTTATTCGGTAGAAAATTTACAAACAGTAATAATTTACAAACAGTATAGTTGTTTGTTTTAGTCCAAATGTGCATGTGAATGATAATGTTTTTTTTTCTTTTCACAGAATTAAATCATTTCAATTGTGGTCGAAACCAATTACGTGCATCAAAGTAAAGCCGGGAAGCCACATTTTGTATTCGCTGCACACGAGTCAAATACACTTTCATTGCATTTTTGATATGCGCAATAATTTGAAAATGTGAACAAAAAAAAACACCAAATATAAAATGGCCCAAAGTTACATTCAATTGAGTTGAATACCTTCGCGTATCGTACAACATTTTTACTCTTAAAGGGGAATAGAAAAATAGAAGAAACTGTAGAAAAATTGTGTAAACTGTGAAAAATGGGCGAACATGCATCTGAATTCAATGCAAATAGCTCGCAGCAAATCATCAAAAACATCAATCCACCAGTTTGCATTCAGAATGTACCGTCATTGCAAGTGGAAAACAGTGCATCAGGTACGTCTCCGGTACATTCAAAAAATGCTAGTGCTATGAATGTCGGTTCTGATATAAGTGGTAGTACAAACAATAACATAAACGAAGGTAGCGTCGGTTGTGTAAATCCGTTGGCCATTACAAACATCAGTGGAAGCAACGTGAATCGGATCAGCAGTGGTGCAATAAATAATTCAAATGGAATACCGGCTAATATTCGCACAACAATAAAGGCGAAAGGACCGATTCGGGTTGGTTTCTACGATATCGAGCGCACGATTGGTAAAGGAAATTTCGCAGTGGTTAAATTGGCCCGACATCGTATCACAAAAAATGAGGCAAGTTTATATTTATTTTGACGATTTTAGACAACAATTGTAGCATTACGCGTGGTGTAACAATGGCAACTCGTAACAATATTTTCCGTGTTTTTTACCGTGTGTAAAAATGGCTCTGTTTTTATTTATCGAAGAAGAGAAAAAAAAGCAATGCCTTATTGTCACCAAGCGACTGAGTTATGGGTACTTTTCTTACGTAGAACGTTTTTGTAATTAAGTCGCTATTGATATATTAACGATTGACGTCATCCGAGGAAGAAAAGCTTATTGAACTTTAGGTCTGCACGAAACTCTCCGTTAATCTTTTTTTTCGACACCAAAGCAGGCGGAATTTAGGGAAAAGAAATGTTCCTCTCGTATTCAATTAAACGTTTGGAGAACATTTTGCTGAATAATGAATGATTTATAATCTCATTTTTGATCTAGATTCGCGTGCAACGCCTGATGACGCTAGTTGTGACGACAATAAACAAATGAGTCATGTGTTCAAAAAACTTGAGATCTTTGCAAAAAAATATTAAAAGCTATTTTAGTGACTTTAAGATTCCGTTAAAAATAGAATAGCGAAAGAATTTACGGCGACTGATATCAATTCGCATTGGATCTTACATAAAAGGGAAGACAGATATGTTGTTTTTTTTTCATTCAGTATAAATAAAAATAGCTCCATTTATTTTTGGTTTATTCGCAACGGCGCTTCCTTGCGCAGCTACTACCACTACATATACTTCTTCGTATATTAATATATATATATATGTCGATCACAGCTGATGCTACTCAATTTGAATGAGTTGGACGTATATGCGGTTATCGTTTTTATTTCTCTCGTGCGTCAATAGTTAACATTATTGGGCACTTTAAATAGAGTTTAGAAAAGAAGTTTTCAAAGCGCAATGTCAATGTTAAGGCAGGGCTAGCTATACAGGTTTTGTAGCACAGTTAGTGTGGAATGTTAGTGAACAATGTTGCAATCATTTATCGGGAGGTGGTATCAATTAAAATGTTGAGATGTAATTATAGTCAATCAATATTATCGATGACTACAATTATTGGAGGAACGAAGATTCGGAACTTTCCGGAAAATACGTTGGAGTTTCGAACTTTATTTGTGCGGTGTACACTAATGAAGAAAGTGCACATTAGCATCATTATTTACGTAATTGCGATTCCGACGTATGTGGAAATGCACAATAGAAATTATTAGTACAATATTACTTTGAATTTGACCGCACACATGTCACACTAAATAGTTATCACAAAGTCTCATTGCTATTTTGGAAAAGAGCTTTCATCTATCACATTTATCATAAATTCTTTCATTTTACTCTAGTTTCTTGCTGATAGACAAATTCATGCTAAAAAAAGAAATAAATTCAAATGCATTACATGCTTATGGACAAACATAAATATATTATACATATACATATATTTCTCTCAGTTTTTTTTATTGATTATCAAAACACGTATAAAATCACATTCATGCGTAAGTTGTACCTATATATATATATGTATACATATATATTATTACTTACTGACATACTATTTCCATTGTGTTAGACCAAAACGATTGCGCCGCTGCTTTGAGTGTATTCGTGTTGGATTGACTAACATAATTTGTAGAGTCTGTATTTACGTCATATTGACGTCAATATTGTGTTATAGCCGATACTTGTGTGCGGCGGCATAAAGTCAGGTCTGACGCGTATCGAATTTTGTTGAATACTGTCTATAGAATAGCGGCGGTAGACCGTTGTTTACAGAAAATTCTCTCTTTCTTTCCCCTCAGATTGTGAGCATTGCTATGTTGCTTTTATTCTTTTTTTACCCATAAATTCAGAGTTTTTGAAGCTTTTGCAGAATTTCTTATTCAAAACGAGAGCATTTTCATTACCGCAAGAGCAATATCTTTCATCAATACCGATGCGATATATTTACAATGGAATACACGCATGTTCATGCGAAAAGTTTCAGTTGAAAAATAAACTTTTTGATAATAATCAATGTAGTGGATGATACTACTTATATACAAAGTCTTCATCCAATTTGATCGTGTGTGAGAGGGATGTTTCAAGTTTAGCTAAAGTTGGTTTATCATCGGATGCAAGTTCGTTTTTATTACGTACTTCATAACTTTTTTGTTTACACATCTGTGTGACGAGGATTAGAGTGAACGAGGTAAAAGTCCGTTTTCTCTTACATCCGATCTCCATTAGATCACAACCAGTCCCCAAGTATTGTGAACTAGGGCGATATATTTCGTCTAGACTAATTTGATAAGAAAGTCATTCGTCTATATTTATAACTCTGCCTACTTTTTCGATCGATTTTCATTAATATACAATGTACTATACATATTTTTCATCATCACTTTTCTTTGATTGACATAATTGAAAAATTAACGGCTTATGAATACTAAGCAACAACCCTATGTACTACTTAACTATATTCAAAACATCAGAAACTTTGATTCTAAATAAATATTCAAATGATTTCATTTGATTCTTCCTATATGTTCGTTGTTAGGTTGCTATTAAAATTATCGATAAGTCACAGTTGGACAGTGGGAATTTGGAGAAAGTATATCGCGAAGTGGAAATCATGAAACGATTAGACCACCCGCACATCATTCGACTATATCAGGTATACATACGAAACTTTCATTTATTATTGGTGATGAAGTACATTGCACATTAAACATTCCTTCTTTAAAGGTGATGGAGACAAAACTAATGTTGTATATTGTGTCTGAATATGCTAGTCAAGGGGAAATTTTCGGTATGTACATACGAACCTGTTTTTATAGTTGTATAGTATATTTTTATGTTAGTATTATTATTTACTTGTGCAAGACAACATTAATGCCATATCACCTATAACCCATTAGATTATATTGCTCGATATGGAAAAATGAGCGAACGAGCGGCACGACAAAAGTTTTGGCAAATTCTTTCTGCTGTTGAGTATTGTCACAAGCGTGGGATTGTTCATCGAGATCTTAAGGTAAGTTTTTGTTAATTCATTCAATTGAAAATAAATAATAATAAATAACGCTCTTCATTGCAGGCTGAGAATCTTTTGCTAGATTCAAATATGCGAATCAAAATAGCAGACTTTGGTTTCTCAAACTTTTTCCACCCAGACGAGTTGTTAGCCACATGGTGCGGTAGCCCCCCATACGCCGCCCCTGAAGTAAGTAATTCCACGATTAGGTATTGTCTCGACACTAAATGTGGCTGTTGATATAATATTCCAATTTATTTCGATTTGAAGGTTTTCGAGGGAAAGAGATACGTCGGCCCTGAAATCGATGTCTGGGTAAGTTTCAATTATTGGTAGGTTAAATTTCTGTTATTCGAATTTTTGATTACATTCTTTTCATTCCAGTCTTTGGGTGTTGTACTTTATGTTCTCGTTTGTGGAGCTTTGCCATTCGATGGGTCGACATTACAATCATTGCGTGATCGAGTTTTATCTGGAAGATTTCGCATTCCATTTTTTATGTCACAGGGTAATTTGAATTGACTTTTGTTCATGCTATCTGAAAAATGCATATTTTATGACACATTTTTCTTTTAAATAACAATAATACCAAACGTTTGCAAATAGATTGTGAATCATTGATTCGAAAGATGCTTGTTCTTGATCCACATCGTCGCTACACCATCGAACAGATCAAACAACACCGATGGATGATGATCGAAGTAATGGATCCGATCTCACTAGCATGTGATAGCCAAAATGCTTTAACTCGCAATGCGACAGCGATTACTGAACCAAATGAACAAATCCTTAGACTGATGGCAGGTCTGGGAATAGACACACAAAAGACTTGCGATAGTCTGAAGGTTGATTAATTAAATTTATAACATTCCTGATTGAAGAATCATTAATAATGAGTTTTTCCCTATTAAACAGCTAAACAATTACGATCACCATGCAGCTATTTATTTATTATTATTGGAGCGATTACGTACTCGATCTGTATCTCAAGAGAACAATATGGGGTTATCAAATAGTCAATTAAATGGATCACAATTGGTACATGTGCATTCATTGAAACATCCTTATCCAACATTGGAGCAACAACGAAGACGACCGTCATCGATTGCCGAACAAGCTATGCGTAAATTAGGCATATCAAACAATCATTGTTCGATAGCATCAAGCACAGACCTTCCACTTGAAGTAATGCCATCACTAGTTACATTGCGAGACACAAGCATACGTGAACAGACACCATCACCGTCAGCAACTGTTTCATCTACATTACATTACCTACGCGACAGCAATGGTGGATTGTTCTCAGCAAATCGAGAGCAAAGTAGCCGTGATTTTCATTCTCCATATGGTCCGTACGGAAGTTTGGCAACAACAGGACGTGAAAATAGTGTTTTGCTATCACGGGATATGGGTCAAAGTGGCTGCTATCCGAATAGAGCATCTTCAAATCGACTATTAATGACGGCCGGCCTGGATCAGCGCATAATAAAGCAGAGTACTGAAGATTGTCGACGATTATTGCAACAGGTACGCATGTGTATTTTATAAAGCGTTTATTTTTATCAAATTGCATTGTTGTAAAAATCGTTGAAAAAATGCTGGCTGCAAGTGTTTTATTTTGAACATTTGAAATCAATTTTAAATTTTTTTTTTCGAAACTCGAGCTTGAATTTACAAATTTCTTTTTTTAATTCTACAGGCAACCGCTGTCGCTGATCCAAATCGAACACAGACCATCAAACCAGCAAACATGGAATTAAGCTCAACACCCCCAAAACATCCATCGAATGGGCTATCTGCACTTCCACCGAACCAGTTCCGAGCGCTTAGCACATCGACCAGTTTTGATTCGAAATCCAGCATCCCGAATTTCTGTTCACGTTTTCAAATGTCAGCAGAAGCATCAAAACTGTTTCATACTCTTCAACAAAGTCCACTGCCCTTGAATTCAGAGGTTATTATGAATTATGTTAACTGTTTTGCGACTATTTGCTTATTGATTTTTCTGCATTTCAGACTCAAGCCATGGATACAACAACCAAGTTCATTGCAAATCAAAACACACATGGTGTACTAAGTCAAGAGTTGAACTTGTCGACTCCCGTACAATCTAAAGAAAAATCACCTAGATATAGGTTTGTTTTATATTTTAGGACGTCTTTTTTAAAGCTTAAATTAACGAGTTAATGCAAATTTATTTAATATTTTCTTAAGTGAGATGTCGGCCAAAGAATCACCATCAACAAAAGATTTACGAGCTGTAGTGCAACCGTTCACCAACTATACACCTGAAGGAGATCCAAATACGTTTCAAATGCTACGACACTCACAAATCATACAACAATGCAGTTCGAGCACAGATGAAGGTTGCGACACTGATCACGGTGAAATGGAGGATGTGGTTCAACCATCAGTACCCCCATCAATTCAACGACTCAACTCGTACGCTAGCAGTAGCTCATCAAGTGGTGTTGTCACAAATTTCCACTCGAAAAGTCTGAGTCAAAACTTGAGCTGCGAATCGTCGCGCAGCAATTTTTCAACATTTGAAAGTCTAGATTTGAATCTTTCCGATTGTAGTGATTTAGCAGCTAGCCTACCGTCATGTGCGAGCAGCATGGCAACAGCAACTAATGATAGTTCCAAAGATCACGGTAATTCATCCATGATTTGCTACCTTCTTCAGATTGAATTTTAATTTATACATATTCATTCATGTGATTTTATTTGTTTTTTATGTCATTCCCAATATACGTTTTCATTGTGATTAAAGTTTGTTAATGCTTGAGTTGTTACTGTTTTATAAGCATAATAATATTATTATTATTACTATTATTTTCTGCATACAATTAATAATTGTGTTTCAAAACTAACTTTTCTATTAAATGATGTGCAAGAAGCTAATGTTAAATGTTTTCCGAAAACTATATCAATGCAGTTTGTAGACCTGTGGTTAGTGCTTCTACCATTCATCCATCGGTTTGTCTGTCAATGTCAGGAAAGTTACAATGTTCAGTTTCCCGTCAAAATCCATTGAGCTACAAACAACATTTGTGCGATAGTTGTAGACCAACCACAAGATCCCCAGTTGATTTTAGGTATTAACTCATTGCATTTTCAGCAACAGAAAAATTACAAACACCATTCCATTCAAAAATCATAGGAATTCATTATCCTATTTATCGAGAAGCCAGAATATATTAATTTTTGTCGCTTATACAGGGAGGGTCGGAGAGCAAGTGATGGTTTAGTTGCACAAGGTATATTACAATCAAAAACGGAACATCCCATGATGGATGCAACCATCGCGTTTAACAGTCAGCGTTTGCATGAGGTATGCAAAGCAAAAGGTGTACTTGAATTGCATTTACTTCAGAAAGAAGCATCTCAACTGAAAACTCAGTACCAGGCAAACGTTACGATTGATGAAGCAACAGGTAAAACTCGGACTCTTGCATTCCTCGTAAACGATGAAGCAATTACTAAAAGAATGCTTAATACATGATAGATATATAACAATTTACCCTTTTTGCACCGATTTCAATACAATATCTTGATGAACGTGATTTGTCAACTATTGGAGCTCATTCCATGAATATAAATAGATACAAGCTTACAATTCTCAAAATCAATTGAGATTAAAGTCAAAACATAGATTAATTTTTCCAACGGCATCAATTTTATATTCAGTTTTTGAATTTCTTCTATATAATTTAATTAAAGCTTATCATAGGAATTGCGGTGATGAAAAATAATTGTATGTTATCAAGTGGAATTTTTTAATGATTTATCATAACAATCTTTCCTATATTTATCCTTCATCCATTTAACACTATGACTGTTCTTCATATTTGCAACATATTATTGTTCTTGGGGGACTCCAGGGCCCCATATGTATTTCATATGAAATCTGGACTGTTATAAGAGATAACAAATTAGTGTCTGAAGCAAAGTTGTAATACTCGAGGTTTGCTATGATTTTGTTGCAACAAATATTGCTTATCTCTTATCAGTTCTGCGAAAAACGCGAAAATCGCGAAAATCGCGAAATTTTCTCACCTCGTTTTAGTGAAGCCGATAAGAAGTAAGAGACTTGCCTCTTCGACAGAAATGTAGAGCAGGTCGAGTACTACAACTTTGCCACAGACACCAAGTCGTTATCTCTTATCAGTTTCGCGAAAAATGATAAGGAAAAATTCGCGTTTTTCGCGTTTTTTCGCGTTACTCATAAGAGATAACAACTTGATGTCTATGATGAAGTTGTAGTACTCAAGCTGTTCTACAACTTTGCCGAAGATACCAAGTCGTTATCTTTTATCAGTTTCGCGGAATACGCGAGAAACCGCAGAAAACCGCGAAAAAACGCGTTTTTTCCTTATCATTTTTCACGGAACTGATAAGAGATAACGAGATGGTGTCTAAAGCAAAGTTGTGGCTCAGGTCGAGTACTATAATTTGCCACAGAGTCGTTATCTCCTATCAGTTACGCGAAAAAATGATAAGAAAACATTCGCGTTTTTCATGGTTTTCTGCGGTTTTTCGCATATTCCGCGAAACTGATAAGAGATAACGAAATGGTGTCTATACCAAAGTTGTAGAGCAGCTTAAGTACTACAACTTCGCTCCAAGCATCAAGTCGTTATCTTTATCAATTACGCGAAAAGCCGCGAAAACCGTGAAAAACGCGAATTTTTTCTTATCATTTTTTCGCGTAACTGATAATAGATAACGACTTGGTGGATGTAGTGAAGTTGTAGTACTTGACCAGAACTACAACTTTGCCATAGACAGTATTTCGCTATCTCTTATCAGTTTTGCGGAATACGCGAGAAACCGCAGAAAACCGAGAAAAACGCGATTTTCTTCTTATCATTTTTTCGTGTAACTGATAATAGATAACGACTTGGTGTCTGTACTAAAGTTGTAGTACTCGACCAGAGCTACAACTTTGCCATAGACACCATCTCGTTATCTCTTATCAGTTCCTTGAAAAATGAGAAACTATGAATTCGCGTTTTTCACGTTTTCGCGGCTTTTCGCGTAACTGATAAGAGATAACGACTTGATGTCTACGGCGAAGTTGTAGTACATAATCTAGTCTACAACACTGCTACAGACACCAAGTCGATATCTCTTATCATAGTCCAGTTATAATATAAAATAGCCATGGGGCCCTGGAGTCCCCCAAGAACAACAGCGTAACATGTTTTGCGGCAGGCTGTATTTTACACATACTCACACATATGTATATGTTTTTTTTTTCATTCGTGTAGAGAAATGTACAATCTATACAATGCGACTTAACTCCGGTTGGTTTATACACTGCTTAGTACTTTTATTCAACTTTAAAGTTCGCTGGGGGCCCTGGGTGCCCCAAGAACAATCATAGTGTTAAAATACGTCTTCGCTTGAATGAAAACATAATGAGTTGTTAATGTCCATGATGAATTGAATCGGTAAAAATAATCTTGACCTACCAAATTGAGTGAAAATAAATGTGAAACATAGAGCTTTTTTTATATGGACTTTACAACAATAACTCCATATAAAAAAACCACAAAGAGAATATGACATTAATATAATATCTAACTCCATCTAGAACTCTTTCCAGTAGTTGTGTTTTAGTGAGTAATATTACCTAGACTGAATATAGCGGTTTCAACTACTTTCGGGCGAAATTATCTCAAACGGCTTTTGTTGATGTACGGACTAATTCAGTAATCCACAGACATGCAATGGCTACTGGATGACAAATCTACAACACACTCGAGTGCGTGTATTTGCGCGCACATTAACAGTGGCCGTTTGAGCGTCGCATAACAAATAACTCATTGCAGTTTACTTTTGCGATAATTTCGCCCAAAAGTAGTTGAAACCGCTATATTCAGTCTAGGTAATATTACTCACTAAATCAAAACTACTGGAAAGAGTTCTAGATGGAGTTAAATGTTCACACCTAATCCAATGTATTGAAACTCCATATAGATGCTCGGAGTATAAAAAACTCTATGTTTCACATTTATTTTCACTCAATTTGGCAGATCAAGATTATTCTTACCGATTCAATTGTTTTCATGTCATCGCATCCAACCATAATTTGGATTCACAATTCACACTGAATTGGTTATATAGTCCGACGCGTGTTTTTTTCATTTGTCACTTGAGCCGGACAACTACCATGCGATAGTTAGGCGGCCCTGTTCACAGAATAGGCCATGGTTTTGATCTGAGTTGATCTTTTCAAAAAATTATGACCGTCGCCGTTTCTGAATATCAGGAGGAACGAATTTCTTGATGTAACAGAATTTTTCATATATTTCTCGTTTTCTCACATCTATAGTAGCTTAGAAATGATTTATCTCGCAATCTTAGCAATCTCTCAACAAGTGTAACTAGAACTAAGTTTTGTCTTCTATGGAAATCTTACATCTGGCTATAAAATCCCATTTATCTCATAGTTATGATTGTTTTATGCACTTTATACTGGCATAAAAATATGCGGCAGTTGATTTTGGATGGACATAGCATCAAAATCATTTTTTAGGTTCGATAAGGCCAATTTTGTCTTTCCAAATTTTCATTATTTGTTCAAAAATTATACCGTGGTGATGAGATATGGCTCTATGTGTGATACTCCATTTTTAGTTCTATTTCTCAATTTACGGTCGTCAAAAATTTCGGATTGCCCTACTATAATCCAATACAAAAAACAATGAAAAATTTTCAACTTTAGAAGTCAGAATTAACTCTGACTATAGGAAAAATTGGTAAAAATAGTGAATTATCTAAGAAAATACGTTATTGGGGTTTATAAGGTATTATTTTTTTGAGCTGATATTTTGGATTTGAACTAATTTTGTGATAATTTAGCTGTACACAAAACAGGGAATGTCTGCACGTAGATTTATTCAAAAAAATTAAAAATATCAAATAAATTTATCCGATATTGTTCATGCGTTGCGTTGTTGTAACGCATCTGCAGTACAAAGTTCATATTCTCTTCCGGATTTGCCAACTCAAATTTGAGGGTATTCTGAGCGGAATTCGGCAAAAATAATGCGATTCAGCATCCCAAAGGGATGCGTACTGTAGGACTTCACTTCCATGCGTACTTGAGGACTTTACTTCCAGAATAAATTGGACCGGGTCGGGTCCACCTGCTCCACAAATTTCACTCCCAGCTCAGGCAATATTTCAGAAGTTTTTACTAGTTTTGTTTTCGGCTTATATTTAAAAATAGCGGTTATAAAATATTGACTGAGCTGGAAGTGAAACTTGTGGAGCAGGTGGATCCGACCTGGTCCAATGTATTCTGGAAGTAAAATCCTCCAGTACGTATCCCTTTGGGATGCTAAATCGCATTATTTTTGCCGAATTTCGCTCGGAACACCACCAAATTTGAGTTGGCAAATCCGGAAGAGAATATGAACTTTGTACTGCAGATGCGTTACAACAACGCAACGCATGAACAGTATCGGATAAATTTATTTGATATTTTTAATTTATTTGAATAAATCTATGTGCAGACATTCCCTGACACTAAATATCTGACATGCAAATTGTGAAAAAAGTTAAGCATATTTTTTTATTAATATCGGCGGCAAGATATCGTAAAGTGCAAAAGAAAAAGAAGAAAATTAAAAATATTCCGAATATTGGCATTAATATCTACCTACGATCACATTATCTGACATGAGACTTATCAATATAGTATTTTCTACGTGGGCTCTCGGTCTATTTGGTTAATAAATGGAACAATAAAATACCGTTAATTTTGTAATAATTATTGGGAGTGTGAATTAATTCGTGCGGTTTTTTTTGAAAAATTGAAGCTTTATTTCGAAGAAATGTTTATACATTCAATGTTCAAAGTATTGTCCATCGCTAGACACTACATTCTGCCATCTTTCTGGCAACTTATGGATTCCATCCCGGAAAAACTGTGCCGGCTTGGCGGCTAAAAATGTATCAAGCCAATTTTTGATTCCTTGAAATGAAGTGAAGCGTGTTCCGGTGAGGGCATTCTGCATGGATCGAAACAAGTGGTAGTCGGAAGGAGCAAGGTCTGGGCTATAAAGGGGGTGGGGTAAAACATGCCGACGTTCTCCACGTAATTTTAGACCGGTTGAGTGCGATGAGGCCGAGCATTGTCATCATGGAATATTATGGGCTCGTGTCTGGTCGCATATTCCGGCCGTTTTGCTTTGATTGCTGCGTTCAATTTGATCAATTGTCGTCGATAGCGTTCAGCATTGATGGTTTCACCGGGTTTTAGCAACTCATAGTAGAGCACTCCCTTCTGATCCCACCAAATAGAGAGCATTACCTTGGCGCCATGGATATTTGGCTTGGCCGTCGATGTTGATGCATGGCCGGGCTTACCCCACGATTTTTTTCGTTTTGGATTATCGTAGTGGATCCATTATTCATCACCAGTAACAATTTGATGCAAAAACGACCTTTTTTTGAAGCGTTCAAGCAACATTTCTGACATGCAAAATCGACGTTCAACTCCCAATGAATCTACAAGTTCTTCTTGCATTTGGCACGAATCTTGATCGAGTAATGCCTCCAATTCTTCATCTTCAAACTTTTTTGGCTGTCCGGGCCGCTCCTCGTCTTCCAAGCCAAAATCACCACTTTTAAATCGTGCAAACCACTTTTGACACGTTCGCTTAGCTAGAGCATGGTCACCATAAACTTCCACTAAAATTCGATGACTTTCGGCTGCACTTTTCTTCATCATAAAACAATGAAGAAGAACGCCCCGTAAAAACACTTTATCTGGCACGAAATTCGACATTTCCAATTGAATAAAAAATGTTATTGTTTACGCTTCAATCAAATGACACAGACTGAAAAAGACGCGTAATGACAGTAGCTTTCAAATGAATATTTGAAAAAATGGAATAATGGAATAATAATCTAGTTACGCCATCTTTTGTGAAACCGCACGAATTAATTCACACTCCCAATAGTAAAATTGTGATTTCACCTTCGAGTGCTATCTACTGGAGATATTAACCAAATGTATAACTCAAAGCTTTTGACGTCCCATACAAATTATCAATAAATAGAAAACCGATATCTCTGATAGTTTCAGAGCTATACCCCGACATTTGCAGATATCGTTCTCATGAGAAGCTTCTAAAAAGGGGTAACTTTTCACTTTCAAACCAAAAAATGGTTTTGGTATACCTTGTATTGAACAGAGTGTACACTGAGAAAAGGCTGGAAGGAAATATTCCAACCCTGCGTTGTAATTTGACAAGTGCGGAAATGCTGTCAATATTCCAACCATGGTTGGGCAATTCACAAAATCGTCTGCAATGACAACATTTACAACGCAGGGTTGGAATATTTCCTTCCAGCCTTTTCTCAGCGTAGTATTGAGATAAGACAAAATTGGCTTTAGTTGGGCTCATATCAGTTGACAGTCAAAAACTTAAGATTCATGGTAAAATTGTCTGAAAAAGACACATGAAATTCCGGAAAAAATGTCCTACACATACATCTAGGAAATTGGAAAAACACTGATAATGATTTTGAGTTTCATAGTGTATGTTCGCTATTGCAAAGAAATTTTTCTTCAAGTAGTGCTCATTCTTGGATTGCTTCTTGTGTTTATATTACAGCTCGTCAGATGCAGCATATCCTGTTCCATGACAGTCCGAAAACTCTGAATAAAAGTTGTGAGGGACATTTCAATAAAGCCGGTGATTTGGCCATCTACCCATGTAAATATGACACTGGCCCTAATGTGAACAAAATGAGCGAGCAATGTGGTGCTTTACAGAAACCACCATTACAACAACAGCTCATGCAACATCGGCTTCTACAGCAAAAAAGACAAGTTCTTCAAAAGCAAGTGGCACTGGAAAATGGTCTAAGTCGACGACAAATGCTACGCCAGCAAAGTTACAAATTGGCACAACAGCAACAAGTATTGCCACCATTATCACTTCCACTCAGCGAAATCGAGTCCAAAGATTTACTTGCATTTCAAGCATTGGTTGAAGGTTCTACACCGAAAAATTCTCATATTTATGTTTCGCAAACACCAAAGTCATCGAGTCTATCACCAGTATTAAACGGATCTCCAAAGATGATAAAAACATCACACATACAACAGCAAACTATGCAAAAACCACTATTGCATTCATCTTGCCATGTATCAGACAGCTGGAATACAATATCCGGCTCAATGAAAACAATTTCGATTAGCGAAAATCCAATGAATGTGGACAGTGGGTGGTCTACACAAGCAGCTTTACAGCAGGTATACTTTTCTAACCACTAGATAATTAAGTGAACAGAGCGTTTTCATATCGAAACCATTTAACCAAATACGTATAGTAAAAAGTTGAAATAATTTTTATTCGAACGTCTTGTATTTATAACTATTAATTTTATGTTCGGTAGTACGATTTGTATACGTATAATATAATAGAACAATCATGATTTGCATAGACGAATTCTTTATTTGAAAAAAAAAGAAAACAGATAGTCGTAGTAGTTTTATTTTCAGCAAAAAAATTTATTTAAAAATCTAGAATGCTTTTGTAAATCTCGTCATTAGAAGCTTTGATTATTTGACAATACACCTCACATCGATCTTATAATCGGATTGAAGGCAATGGCAAGAAATTCGTGATCGATTGTACTTGGAATTTGCATTAGGCAAACATGGCTTTGGAAATGTGTCATGATTTTATTATTTAATCTGACTTCGCCGTTTTCGTTCCAGGCGAACGCAAGCTTGTGCATACCACCATGGCCACAAGGATCACATTCAATTTCAGCATCATTACTACCACTGAATGAAAGCCCTTTGCTGGAAATATCCGAGCAAATGGAATCAATTTAATATGGATTTCAGATTATTTCTACTGTTATTACTAAAAAATTGGATGATAGAAAAGCATAAAAAGTCAAATTTAACATTTTTTTTTTGGAAAAACGTAATATCATCATTAATTATCCTTTACAAAATATCCTCAGGGGTTATTACAACAACAATGGAAAAATTTCTATTTGACGTTTTTCATACGTAACAAAAAAAACTATAGCCCATAGTGAAGGGAAATCATCGTAAATACGGTAGAAAAATGAACTGATATAATCAAAACTGTTTGAAAATTATGCCAACAATGGAATAAACGTACTTTGAACGATAATATTTGCTATCCAATATGTTTGAACGATAATATATGTGGAAAATTGTTTGAGACTGGTAAATAATTTAGCATTGTAATTATTGAAATCTTGTTTCTGTTTCTATCAAACGAATGTGTGAACAACTAACTGAACAAATAATAAATGTTCTAACACTTCAGTCGAACATAGTTTAACGCAAGTAGGAAAATGCTGATACAAAATTTTGTATATTTCCTCTTCCTTCTCGTGTTGAGCAAATGTTTGAATTCAAATAGTCATATCTATAAAATAAACTGAATTTCTTTCACACATTTTATAAATACCGTCACATTCATTAAATCAAACAAAGAACTCATTGCCTCAACAGCTATTGGAAAAATACAATGTTCTGAATTTTAGTTTTGCTTTTAAAAATGCAGAAAAAAATTAGCTAAATGCTCCAATCTTTTAAGTTCTGTCCAAATAAAAATAAATTCGATTGGAGGTGAAAAATATCAATTGTGTATATTAGGAAAATGAAAATATAGAAAAAAATGAGGGAGAAATATTAGTTTGCACCTTTCGATTTTCTCAGCTCAAAAATACCTTTTTCACATTCAATTAATTTTGATGAAGCATTTTTTTCTATGTTTTAAAACCAATTCTAAAAGAATATCTCGTAGTAATACATAAATTAAAAATTGTGCAAATTTTGTTTTAGGAAATTTCAAAAACTAAATCCAAAACAATTTTTCTCGAAAGCGTAATCATATCAACGGCATACAGTGGTTAAGCTAACCGTAACCGTATAAACACATGTTGCACTTTGAAGGTGTAAATAAAGTCGACTATCAAAAAAGAAAAGTCGAGTTTAAAGCCGAATTAGTAATTAGTTTACTAAGTCCTAAAAATTAAAAGGTATAAACACGATTCACTAAAAATGCTACAAAAACCCTGCTGAAGACTTTTTTTGGCCTATTACAATGAATCAGTTAAATGAATTGTGCAGACATTCTGCAGATAAATTAAAAGAAAGTGAATCAGTTTTGTGACACAATTTTGACTTTCTTTCTTAGTAATTGTGACAATAAATCTAAAATAAGTTATGTGATAATTTGAATTAAAAAAATGAAACAAAAACAAACCATTTCTTTCGGATCACGTTGAATTTTTTCATTCATGAGTACAGGCATTCTAACAAGTTCAGCTGTTTTTTCAATGCACAACTTTGTTTACTTGGAATGAAAAATACGAATTTTACATATACAACATTATGACAATTTACAATTTTTTACAGCCATCTAGTCAACACACAGAATAAAACTACTTAAATTTATGTATAACCAAAATAAGTAAAATTTCTGGATTATGTCTTGATCAAATCAGCACCTTACATCTTGCAAATGCAATAAATTGAAAAATAATCTAAAGATGACAAACTTTTCCATAGATCACGAACTACTATATAATATACAGACACAAAATTTAATCAAAATTTGGAAGAAAAGAATGTACAAAATAATACAAATACACAGACGAAAATTATCAAATTAAGAAGTGATCATAATTGTAAACACAAAATTTGAATAAAAATCTATACAATTATCATCATTACTATGCATTTCGCTCAAACCTAGAATATTCTACTCTCCTTCTGGTTTTTCATTCTAGCTCATATCGTATGTTAATCAATGATGTGTAATTAAATCTTGCATTTAAAGTAAGCATTCACATCTGCGAGCTTTGATCAAATCATGTTTGTTTTTTCTCAAGTATTTGAAGCTACATAATATCAACTTAGTCGGTTGTTTCCTCTACGATTACAAACTCGTATTCAAGAAATGATTTTGCGCAATACAACTAAAGTACTGTGACGCCCATACATAAACAAAAACAAATTGAATGTCATGCCAACAGTAATAAGTTAGTATTCGCGTTCCCACCACGAGAAGCATATTTCAGTGTACTTTTGCTTCTGATTTGGTTATCTCACGAAACGCAGTTCGCCTTCAGAGTGTGTATTTTTCTTCTTTTCTTCAAACATCATTTCAAATAGTTACAAAAAAATACTGCATGATTATAAAATAATAGTATTTCTTCTACTTATTGGACTTCATTTATTTTCTCAAGACAAAAAAAACACATAGTTATTGAAATTGTATACGGTCAACTTTAGTCAATTAAAGCCAATTTTAACGAGAGTCAAAATGATCTCATATAAAATGTATTCTCTTTTTGTCGGCGTGTTTGTGCTAATAATGTTACAAACTTGTAAGTGAAACCTTGAAATATGTTTCATTGAAGTAATAAAAAACTAATGTTCCACTGTAGCATTTGGCATCAAGTGTTGGGACTGTGACTCATACCAAGATCGAAACTGCGGAGATCCATTTAATAATCGCACATTGTCGGTAACCGACTGTAGCCTGATCGCTGACTCTAATTTACAAAAATGTAGAAAAATTATCCAAAAAAGTATGAACATCTTTTATCATTATTTCCATTCTTTATGTCAATAATTGCTTTGCTTTGCTTTTTCCAACAGTTGTGAATAATGGCGTAAAATTTACACGCGGATGTCTCATAGATGACCATGCCTCGCATCAGCTGAGCGAAGCATCGATCGAACTTTGTTCGACTGATGGCTGTAATTCTTCATCACTTGAAACACCATTTATTTTTTTGGTCTTTTTATCACCAATTTTGTTCGGTTTTTATCGCATTCGGTAAATTCGATAATATAAACGGAATATTTTGTGTGTAAAAGTGAATAGTTGCTCACCATATTCGTTGTTTTTCACAAGCATTTCCTGGGTTTAATAAGCAAAGAATAAATTGGTGATGATCATATTTTATAATAATTTGATAGCGTTTTTCATTTCAAATTTTTTTCCATGACCACGTCCAAGTTTTCTCGGAATAAGAAACTCTGAAAGTGACGAAGTTCAACAACCGAGCGGCCAAACACCCTAAGCCAAATATGGTAGGGAAAAGAAGAATAATACAACATTGATTCTTTCATGTGTGTATGTGTGTGCTTCCTCGTTCACCCTCTAAAAAATACAATAGGAATTTCGTATCGACTGTCTCAATTGTGCGTATACACGAAATATTCGTCCACTAGCATGAACTATATTGACTCATGAAAAAGGAGTGGTGTCGTCGTGGAGTGAGTTTAGACATTGTGACTCCATTTGCAGTTATATTACCTTTTCAATGTGTGCAAATGAAATTTTTTCGGCATTTTCAATTTCTCATACTCACTTTGCATAAAATGTGCATGTAGGAACAATCGGGATATCATTGGATTGTTGCACCACGCATGAAAAATTATTATTAAACCAACTCAATTTTCCATACAGGTCGCATGAAAGAATGTAATTTGTAAATCATTAATATTTAACGTCGATCGAAGATATAAAAATGTGACAGGAAAATATTTGTTTAGATAACAGAAGTCATTATTCATCGGTGTGCAATTAGCATAAAATAACCTGTACTATCAAAATGACCCGTCAAAAGCTATTTGTTACGATACAAACACTTTTTAGCACTACATGAAATGTAGAGCTATTAGATTTGTTTGTTTTTCTGGAATGTTCAGACACGATATCTCGTGAACGCTTTGGCCGATTTCCTTCAAATTTTGGGTGTAGGCTTCTTTTGGCCCAAGGATGTGCAGGAATATTTGTGGTAGGTCATGGTAGACCGTGATGGCCGATTTTGAAAATCGGGTTTTTAGGCAGAACGCCTTGATTGATTTTGATGTAATTTTGAATAGAGATGTTTTTTGTCGTGATTAGACTCTCGTGGTTAGTTGTTGAAGACCACGATGACCCTTTAAGAAATCGCTTATTCATGCTGAACGCCCCAGCCGATTTCGTTCAAATTTTGGGTGTAGGTCACTTCTGGGCTGCCATTGTGCACCGTATATTTGTGATAGGTCGTGGTAGACCGTGATGATCGATTCTGAAAATTGGGTTTTTTGGCTGAACGCATTGAATGATTTTGTTGAAAGAGTTATAAACCTGCTATAGCAAAGAATCGTGCTTTTTGACAGATATACTAAATTGAATGTTTTCTTTGTCGTCATCTGTTGTCGGTGATACTAATATCTTCTCGTTCGGTTCTGATGAAGATTTCATTTATTGTTTATCCAATTTTATACAAAATCACTTTTTCATTCATAAACCAATTTAGAAAAGAAAATCACCGTTTTTCCGACTATTGGCATGCAAAATGCACAAATAATAAGAGTGAAAAAATTGTCATCATCAAGTTTAAAACACACCACGACCAATTTCAAGTATTGCAACTTTGTTTTAAAAAAAGCCGAAAATTATCTGAAAAAAAAACACTATACATTCTTTTAGCTCTTTGTAGACATCAAATCTCACATTTTCAATTGAAAGTGTTTTTTTTCCATACAACTCATAATCGTAATACACAATCACGTGTTTAGTACATTTCATCGATCAATGCCGACACTGAACGCGACCTTTCAAGTTACACATATATGTGACTGATGAGTTTTTAAATTTGTCTAAATATTTCAAAACAAACGATTGTAATTTCTCAGAAATTCAATAACGAATTCAGAAACATCACAGCCGGCGACAGCAGGCGCGAGTGACGAAAGCACCTCTGTGCTGAAAGTCGAACTCGCCTATATATACACGCAATTTCGAACTTTTTTCCTAAGAGGCTATCTGGTATGAATGAAGTATCGCTAGAAAGGCCCTGGTTCATAGGCCCAGAAAATGCATTCAAACTTGGAAATCGACCAACCGCCTCCATAGAAATAGCCACTTGGAAATTATGTACAATTATCAGTTTTTCCCATTTACCGGGTGTTGAACGCGGCCCGTTCATCTTGAAACATGTTTTTTCTGAGTCTACTCGTTGAGACCTTTCCAACAAGCCCAGGAACGTCGAAATTGGACCATCCGTTCATGGGTTATGACGATTGACGGTTTTTGACCCTCAATTTTTTCCAAAAAAATTTCGACAAAAATTGAGGACAAAAAATCAAACTTCTACAAATGCGATCAACATGAAACTTTCAGAATCTTATTTTTCTCCAAAAAATGAAACCTCAGAAAGTTTGAAGCCAATCAGAATCGATTAACGGGTACCTCCCATACAAAATTGTCCAAAAATCGGTAATTTTAG